GAGGGCGAGGGGAGAGTGAGAGGCGAGGGAGGGAAGGAGGCGAGGGGAGAGGAGGAGGAGGCGAGGGGAGAGAGGAAGGGGAGAGGGGAGAGTGAGGAGGCGAGGGAGAGGGAAGGAGGCGAGGGGAGAGGGAAGGAGGAGAGGGAGGAGGGAAGGAGGCGAGGAGGGAAGGAGCGAGGGGAAGGAGGCGAGGGAGAGGGAAGGAGGCGAGGGGAGAGTGAGGAGGCGAGGGAGAGTGAGGAGGCGAGGGAGAGGGAGGGAGGCGAGGGGAGGAGTGAGGAGGCGAGGGAAAGGAAGGAGGCGAGGAGAGGGAAGGAGGCGAGGGGAGAGGGAAGGAGCGAGGGAGGTGAGGAGGGAGGGAGAGGAGGAGCGAGGGAGGAAGGAGGGAGGGGAGAGGGAGGAGGCGAGGGAGAGGGAAGGAGGCGAGGGAGAGGGAGGCGAGGGAGAGGAAGGAGGCGAGGGGAGGGAGAGGAGGGAGGAGGAAGGAGGCGAGGGAAGGAGGAGGAGGGGAGAGGAGGAGGAGGGGAGAGGAGAGGCGAGGGGAGAGTGAGGAGGAGGGAGGGAAGGAGGCGAGGGGAGAGTGAGGAGGCGAGGGAGAGGAAGGAGGCGAGGGAGAGGAGGAGGCGAGGGAGAGGGAAAGAGGCGAGGGGAGAGTGAGGAGCGAGGGAGAGGGAAGGAGGCGAGGGAGAGGGAAGGAGGCGAGGGAGAGGGAAGGAGGCGAGGGGAGAGGGAAGGAGCGAGGGAGAGGGAAGGAGGCGAGGAGAGGAAGGAGGCGAGGGGAGAGGAAGGAGGCGAGGGAAAGTGAGGAGGCGAGGGAGAGAGGAGGCGAGGGGAGAGGGAAGGAGGCGAGAGAGGGAGAGGCGAGGGAAGGAAGGAGGCGAGGGAGAGGGAAGGAGGCGAGGGAGGGAGGAGGCGAGGAGGAAGGAGGCGAGGAGGAGGGAGGAGGCGAGGGAGAGGGAAGGAGGCGAGGGGAGAGGGAAGGAGGCGAGGGGAGAGGGAAGGAGGCGAGGGGAGAGGGAAGGAGGCGAGGGGAAGGAGGAGGCGAGGAGAGGGAAGGAGGCAGAGGAGGCGAAGGAGAGGAGGCGAGGGGGAAGGAGGAGAGGGAGGAGGCGAGAGAGGGGAAGAGGCGAGGGAGAGGGAAGGAGCGAGGGAGAGGGAAGGAGGCGAGGGGAGAGGAAGGAGGCGAGGAGAGGGAAGGAGGCGAGGGAGAGGGAAGGAGGCGAGGAAGGGAAGAGGCGAGGGAGAGGGAAGGAGGCGAGAGGGGAGTGAGGAGGCGAGGAAGAAAGGAGGCGAGGGAGAGGAAGAGCGAGGAGAGGGAAGGAGCGAGGGGAGAGGAAGAGAGGAGAGGCGAGGGAGAGGGAAGGAGGCGAGGGAGAGGAAGGAGGCGAGGGGAGAGGGAGGAGGCGAGGGAGAGGGGGAAGAGTTGAGGCGAGTGAGGAGGCGAGGGGAGAGGAAGGAGGCGAGGGAGAGTGAGGAGGCGAGGGAGAGGGAAGGAGGCGAGCGTGGTGCGTGGAAACAAGAGGAGAGTTGGAAGAAGGAGGCAGGAGAAAGGAAGAAGAATAATATCACTTATCATCTTTGATATATTACCGTTTTTTTAATGTAATAACCATTGTCATCATTATTATCATTATCATTATCCTTATCCTCATCATTGTTATTCATATTCATATATTTACTCTTTATTTATTTCTATTCTTATTTTCATTCTCATTCGTATCTTTATCATTATCAATATCTCTGTCACTAGTACCATTATTATTGACATAATTATTCACAGTGTTCTTATCGCTGTGATAATTATTATCATCAATATCATTATCGTTACCATCTTTATAAAAATTACTATCATTATCATAATCATCATATTGATAATGATAAGGATAATAGTAATGATGATAGGACGATGATAATATGGTAATAATAATAGTAATGACAAAGGGATAATGATAATATAAATATAATAATGATAATAAATAATAAGTAAATAATAACAATAACAATAATGCAATGATAATAGTGAAAGTAATGATAACAACAGCAATAATGATAATAATGATGATAATAATAATAATGATAATCATGAAAATGATAACCATAATCGAAATAACAATAGTGATAATGATTGTAATAAATTTGAGAATGATAATAATGATAATGAAAGTAATGATGATAATGATAACAATGACAATTAAGATAATAGTGATTGTAGTAATAAAAATAATGATAATAATGGTAATGATAAAATGTTTATAACAATATTGATCATATTGATGATAATTAAGATAATAATTGTGATAATGATAACAACAATGATAATGATAAAATAATGAAGATAAAAACAATGATAATTATAACGGTAATAAAAAGTGATAATAAAAATATAATGATAATGGTATAATAATGATGATGTAATAATAATAATGCTTAATGATGATACTATCAATAATAATATTGATGATAATAATAATAATTGCAATAACGATAATAATAATAACAGCTAATAACAATAACAACTCTAATAATAACAATAACGATACAATAAAAACAATAAAGATAATAATAACAATGATAGTGATATTGATGAAAATAATAGAAATAAAATTAATAATTTGTTATCATTATTATTGCTACTGTTGTTATCATTACTATCATTATTGTTACTATATATTATAGTAACAATAATGATAGTAATGATAACAACAGTAGCAATAATAATGATAACAAAAATAATAATGGTAATGATTTTAATAATAATAATAATAATGATAATAATACAATAACATCAACAAAATCGATAGATATCAACAACCACAATCATGATAATTATGATAAGAATATGAACAGACTATCGCTGATAATAATAACGATATCGACAGTGATAATAATAACAGTACTAGTAATAATAGTATTGGTGATGATGGTAATACTATTACTAATACTAATATTACTACTGCTACTGCTAATTTTAATAATGATAATAATGATAATAGTAACAACAATAATAACAACAAAAGGGATGAAAAAACAACAGTAATGATAAAACTTATAACAACAGCAGTGCTAGTAATAAAAATAATGATAAACCAATCATAATACAATTTGCATGATGATGATAATGATGATAATGATAATAATAACAATAGTAATAATAATAATAATAATAATAATAACAATTATAATAATAATAATAATAATAATAATAATAATAATAATAATAATAATAATAATAATAATAATAATAATAATAATAGTAATAATAACAATAATAATTATCATAATCATAATAGTAATAATAATGGTAATAATAATGATAGCAATGACAACAAGAACAACAAATACATAAGATAATACTATGATTAATAATGAGTGTTATAACAATAGTAACAATAATGCTAATGATGATATGATAATGATAATAATAATAATGATAATGACAATAATTATCATTATAATTTAACTAGTATCAATATTGATAAAAAGAACAAAATAACAAGAGTAATAGTAATAATGATAATTATATAATAATAACAATAAGAACGACAGTAATGAAAATGATAATGATAATGATAATGACAACAATAATCAACAATAATAGTGATTATTATGATAATAATTCCTTTTAGGTTTATTACTATTGTCATCATCAATATTATTTGTGACATTGTTGTTATCATCATTAATATTATCATTATTAGTATATTTATCATTTTCAGTATCATTATCGTCATCATCATCATTATTATCCTTACTTTCATCTTAATCATTATCATGACTAAAACTATCATTACTAATATCATTATCATGATTATCATCAGTATTGCTAACAACAAGGATATCATTATTATTATTTTTTTCATTATTATTATCATAATTAATATCAACAGTCATTTTCATGATCAATATCATTATCAATTTCATTATCATCTTTATTATCATTATGATTATTGTTATCATAATCATTATCATTATAGTAAAGAGCATCATTATTATCATTATTACTATTATAATGATCATCATGATTAATTCTTTATTATGATTTTTATTGGTATTGTTATTATCATTACTATGACTACTTTTTATTATCATTGTCATTATATTAACTAGTCTTATTATCATTATTAAATTCAATACTGTTATGATTCCTATAATTATTATCTTATTACTTTTATTATTACTGTTATTAATCTTAATACCACTTTATTATGCAAATCATTTTCGTTGAAATTATCAAAATTATCACCATTTTGATTAGTGTTATATCATGATTGCCATGTTTAGTGCAATCATTATAATGAAAAAATCCTTAAATAATGATGATAATGATTATAATAAAAGTACTTTTAGTAATAACAATATTACTAATAATACTAATAATTATAATTTAT